TAGAATTATTGATCTAAAATCGAAAAACTTCAGAATTTTAGAATATGGTCAGCCCTACCAGTTTCAAATTTGGGCTGGTGGAACTACAGTGGCTACCACTAATTTAAGAAATACCATGGGCTGAGACTGTTAGCTCTTCTACTACCTTATTTTACTCTCATTTCAACCCTAAGATTGAGATAAGCATATTTCTGCATCTTTGCTATTGCACTAATATAAATATAATTTAATGTATAATAAAATGTTCTTGTTACCTCTTAATTACTGGGAAAATTCTCAAGCTGAATATTAGATGCTAAAACTGTGGAAAATAAGTGCTTGTACTTTCCACCCTTAATTCTCAAGAAAACTTAGATATGTGTGCCCTCAGACTTGCTAAAAGCAAAGCTACATTTGTTAACTCAACCGTCACCCCATCACCAGCAACTTATAGCCAAAGACCAAAAATTCTAAGAGTAATATCAAGGTGGTGAGTTACCCCTTTTCACCACCCTTTGTGTGTGTGTGTGCTGCTTCCCTTCTCACACCCAACCAAGCAAAGAACACTAAGAGAGTCACTAGTAAATGTGTAAATTTGGGAAGGATCTACAGGAAGAATAATTCCCCAGCTGAAATTATAATTAGGCCCCGAAGTTGCTGATGTATCCTTTATGCCTATGTGAGCAGAGGGCAAGGAAATTGAAGAGTGAAGATAAGGAGGGGAAAGGAGACAGTTAAGTAGCAGCCTGTTTCTTTGCTAAGCTAGAGCAACTGCACCCGTTTAGCTTTTGCTGGTAAAACACAAATGGGTCAGTAGAAACAGCTGTGTATTTTGTTTTTGGCTTTTTGCATGTGTAAATGGTTAGATTTCTGTTGGCTATGACCAAGGTCTGAGAGTCTTATTTTTTGGCCAAATGGATCCTGAGGAAGATAGACAGGCTTGGGCCATCTATGGGGTGCCCCTCCCAAGAGGGCTGCCTGTGAGGTAAGAGGACCTAAGACCAAGGGGGCAGCAGGACTGTATGAGGGAAAGGAGAGGAAACTAGTAGATTGCTTTTAAAAGACAAAAGGCTAGCTTTTCTCTAGTCAGAGAACTAGGCATTGGGAAGGTGCCCTATAGGGGACCTCAAGAACCTAGATCTCCGCTCCAAGCCTGTTTTCACAGACAGCATCCAGAGCCAAGAAGAGAACATCAAGAGGTGAGTCAAAAGATGGTTGCCCCTTGCCTTTTTCATCGTCCTCCCCCTTGCCATGAACCATAGAGGAGAAAGGACCTAAGAGTGTGTGTACACATGGGTCGCCCTTTTAGGCTTCTCGCACTTTGATACCCACTGTCCCCGCCACGTGCACTCCCATCCCATCCTATCCTTTCCTCCATCCTTGACAATTTGCTGTTCCTCTCTGGCTCAAGCATGAACAAAAGAACATTGTTCCTCTTGGCACAGCAGAGGAAACTGGAATTTTCCAAAGGAACTTGATTAAAGACAAGGGGACATAAAACACTAAGTTCATAAGCACAGTGCAGCTAACAAAGTACAGGTCCGACCCTATGATTGCTAGACAACATCATGCTCTCAATTGTTGGTCCACACCCTCTCTGAGAATCCTGCCCAATGAAACTCTGCTTCAGATCATGGGCATACTTTCTCTCCATACTTCTATGCCCATTGTCTTCTTTGTGGGTGAGTTGAAGGACATCTTGGTTGGACAATAGTTGATACATATATGAATAAGGAAATAGTGTACTTTCTTTCTTTTTAATTAGTTTTATTTTTCTTTTTTGATTTTAGAATATTTTAAAATTTTATTTTAAAGTTGTAGGGTACATGTGAGGATTTACTACATAAGTAAATTGCATGTAGGTGAAGTTTGGACTTCTAGCTGGGTCCTCTCTCCCCGTTGGTACCCAGTGTGTTGCCACATCCCTTCCCTCTCTCTTTCTTCCTTTCCTCTCCTAGCAGTATCCAGTGTCTGCTGATCCTACCTTTGTGCTCATGTGACCAACAATCAGGGCCCGCCTATGAGTGAGAACTTGCAGTATTCAGTTCTTTGTTTCTGTGATAGTTCACTTAGTATGATGGTTTCCAGCTGCATCCATGTCGCTGCGAAGGACATTATTTTATTTTTCTTTAAGGCTACATAATAGTTCATTGAGTACACTTTCTCACCTTTTGAGTCCAACAGACCTGAGTGACAGTATTAAAGTTACTTAACCTCTCTGAGCATTACTTTTCTTGTTGATATAGCACCTGTTTCATAGTTATAAAGTGCTCACATAATGTCTGCATAAGTACTCAAAACATGTTTCCTATCTGCATGGACTAATGTTTGTATCCCACCTTCCCCCTGCCAAATTTAAATATTAAAATCCTAATCCCCAATGTGATGGTATTAGGAGATGGGGCCTTTGGGAGGAAATAGTTTATGAGGGTGAACCCCTCATGAATGGGATTAGTATCCATATAAAAGAGATTCCAGAGAGCTCTCTCGTACTCTTCTTGCCAGTACATCAAGAAGAATACATCAAGAAGTCTGCAACTCAGAAAAGTGCCCCCACCAGAACCAACCATGCTGGCACCCTGATCTTGGACTTTCAGTCTCCAGAAATTTCTATTGTTTTTAAGCCATCTAGTCTATTATGCTTTGTTGCAGCAGCCAACTAAAATACTGTCATTGTCATCATCATCATTGATATCAATGTTGGAAGAAACTACCTGGCTCTGTCTTCCTTCTGCTCCCTATATTTATGTATCTAGCTCCCCATTCTTTCTCACATTCCTCCTACTCTATGGATAGGTAAAGGTTATTTCCTCCCACCTGGATGTATCTAACCTGTTGAATTGAATAGACCATATCATAGATTTTTTGGAATAAACCACATCAAATTCAATCTACTCATAGGTGAAACTTGGCTTCTTTACCTAAAGTTCTAGCTTGGCACCTGAACCTTAGTACAATGACACAATATTACATCCCAGGACCAACTGAACATTTCTGTCTGTTTAATCTTTGTAGGGTGTCTTTATTTCCAAAGCCCCAGTGGTGAACCTCCTCAAAGTCAGCCATTCATCACACTTCCCCAAACTCACATGACTCATGCTTGAGCCAGGTAAACTGCAGTCTTCCTATCCCCATCCACCCATCAGGCAAATCCAGGCTCAAACCTGGGCTCGGTGTAAAATGATTAATTGTAAGTGCTTAATCTTTCTAAGCTTCAATTCACTCTTTGTAGAATGGTGATTAGGATATCTCCCTAACAGAGTCTTCTCGAAGGTTAAAAAAAAAAGAATGTCAAGCACTTAATGCAGAGGCTGGTTCACAGCACCAGAGGCACAGTAAATGGAGGTCAACATCATTATTACACATTTATAATATCATGATTACTTTACATCACCAATTAAGTGGGCAATTTATATGAAAAGCAGAAAGGACTTTCTTTTACATAGTCTTTCAGTCACATAGCACCTACTCAGTAAACCAGTGGTTGTCGGCCTTGAGGTACCTAAGAATCACCTGTTTACCTCTGAATCTTGATAAATGTCTTACTCACCTAAGATAAAAGTACAGTAACACATTTATAAACCTTAGTACATTGTTTTCTTAGTTATGGTCTATTTTTATTGCCAGCACCAATCTTAAAATTTAACAAAGTTCCCTGCATTTATTGTTCTTGGAAATCTGATAGTTAAAGGTAAAGAATTTGGCTTTAACGCTAACGTGTTTACATTTCACACTCACATTTACCAACTGGAGCCTTATAACCCCTTCTGCTCTTTGTTTCTGTCCAAAGTCCCTACTGCAAAGTGCGGCAATTTCTGCCCTATAGTAGGCGCTAAATGTTAACTAAGTGACTGACTACCCCTTGGGTTGTAGTCTTGGATGAAAAGTGAATGATTCATGGATAGGAGATGTGGCATGCTTTCTTTCAAATATACCAGGGGCAGGCAATGAAGAACTTCTGAGTCAAACACACCTGGATTGGAGGTTTGACTCTGTAACTATGGGAAGATCAGTTATTGTCTCCGAGCCTCTGCAAAGACAGAGATAATGATAGCACCTACCTCCTGGGTGATTTGAAGGATTAAATGAGTCAATCAGTGAGAAGTGTACAGCTTTTATGACACAATCTCCTTGGTGCTGACCTTATATCTTCTCTTGGGGTTGTCCCATCCTCACTTATTTTCATTCACCTTCTAGGTTCTGACCAGGCCTCTTCCCGAGCAAGATTATATATGGAGAATCATGTTTATTTCTGAACATCTAAAGAGGACTTTGACCAGGACTATAGGACCAGAGAACTGCTATGTGAAAAGTAGGCTTTTAGACATTAGATGAAACTAAGGAGATAGAAATGAAGTATGGATTTTAGTTAATAATGTTGACTCATTAGCTATGACAAATGTACCATAATAACATCAATAATAGGAGAAGGTGGGTGATAAGTATGTAATATTCTTATACCTTTTCTGCCCATCTGATAATTTCAAAAATTAAAAAAAAGGTTTATTAACTGTTAAAAATATCTGCCAGGCACAGCAACTCATGCCTGTAGTCCCACCTACTTAGAGGCTGAGGCAGGAGGATCGCTTGAGCCCAGGAATTTGAGGCTGCCGTGAACTATGACTGTGCCACTGCATTCTAGCCTAGGCAATAGAGTGAGACCCCACCTCTAAAAAAAATCAATACCACAACTATAAAAAGTCAAAACTTACTTGTATGCTTACAATTTATTCCTATATGTACATAATAAGAAATTATCAAAATAAAAATGAAAAAAATTTTAATGGACCTTTAGCCAGGAATAAGGAACATGTTGCAGGGGTGATAATATTTGCAGGTCTCTTTTGTGTGGATGACAAATATATACTACATAGTTTCCAAGGCAGAAATAATTAGCAGAAATTACAGATCATTCAGTTTTAACTTGGATAATGATTGAAACTGCACATGGGCACATGCACACACATATACACACACACACAGAGGACACATTATAAAACAATGTACAACCTCTTTCAAAGATGACCACGGAGAAGGCAGATGACTACCCACGAGGGGATGTTGCTATGAGTGGCCAGGAAGTTATGCTTGATGATTATGACTGTCTGCCTTATATCCACGTGCTCTACTCTGCCCTTTTCTACCTGCATCCTTTTGGTACATTTTGGATTTGGGAAGGACTTCAGCAACCATCTAGTTCTTTTCTGGACTGGATTTTCTGCCAGTTTTCTTGGCCTCTGGTATGATGTGCAAACACTTTCCTAGGAGTCCTGCTTATTCAGCTTAAGTCACTCTTGATCCTTTCTTACTCTGGCTCGAGAGCCTCATCTTAGGCTTTCTGTGCTTTGACAATCTGTTTGAACCCACTTCTCCTGCTCTGGCATCAGAACACTCATAGGTTTGTTTGCGCTCTCCTGCCACACAACTGCAGCTATGGCTGGTCCACACAGTCCCACAGACCTGCTAGGAAACAGAACAAAAAATCATCTGTGATGGATCACTACCCTGTCCGTGGGGTTGACATCCTGTCTCAGTCATTAGTGCCATATTACTCAGGTCATGGCATTATACGCATATTACTTAGGTCGTGGTCATATACACAAATAAAAATGAAACAGAAATGCATCTTGAAAAATGGATCTTGATTCACAAAACAGATATACTACACTACATCATAATGTGCCACATACACAATCTGAGATCAAACTGACTAAAGTCTACCTCCTTTAGATTCACATCTTCCAGGTAAGACCACAGTTGGACCGACTTACCTTTAACTGTGCAGACTCATGTCTTTTACAGATAGGATCACCTACTCTTCCAACAACTCACCTTATTTACATATTCCCACCAACCCTTGCCCAGACCACACTAACTAACAGCCACCTAAAGCTAGATAATTAACTGCAGCCCCTAACCAACCTTCCCTAACTCCTCCCTTTTGAGACACCATTATAGTTGTACTCTGCCTTACTCAATATGTATAATAAACCCGGTGTTGGCTAAAAAGAAGGTACTCCTGGTGATCATTGATGAGAGAGTTAAACAAGTTTTTGCCTGATTATACCCATGTTCTTCTTGTTTGCCTAGCACATACCTACTTTTGCTTCAAAAATCCATTTAAATATCACTCTTTGAGCCTTCCCTGGTTTCTTCTTTGCCACAATCCTCCACATACCCCGTCTTCTGTGTTTCCTGACTGAGCACGTGACCCAGGTTTCCATTAGCTTTCCTCTCATCATATTTTAATTCTTTTATTTGTCTGCCCACTCCTCCCATCTTGCCTTAAGAGCAAGATCACTTTTATGCATCTTTGTAGGTCCAATACATACCCTGGTGCTGGGCACAGAATAGGCACTGAATAAATAACTGTTAACTTCAACCCAGATTATTATTCATAACAAAACTGAGCAGAGCTTTTACGTGATCCGTGTGTTAGTTATTCTTTCTCAGCCATCATATGTGTCTGAGGGAGCCTCATGTAGAACAAATCTCCATAATGTCCATTCCTTTGTGGTAAGAAGGGTCTACATAACTGTTTACTGACTGGCTAGGGTCACAAGTGGTTATACACACAGGATTACAAGGACTCAGGTGATGGGAGTGGCCAATATTGTTTGTAATTTTGTCTTGTAAAGAGGAAAATCAACCCCATTTTCATTTTAAAAGTTATCTTAAAAACCAAATTAATGCATGAATTTATCTTCTTGTAAAATACATACATATATGTGCAAAAAATGTATACGCATTTTAAGTGATGTTATCTATGCATTACTTTTTGAAGTTGAATAACAGTACCAATGTGTAGTGTGACATTCCCTCAACCTTGCTTCCACCATTTTCTTTGACTGTTCTTCCTGTCACATGGTGATGCTAGCATTCATTTGATTAATGCCATCTTTTGAGCAAATGTCACACTTAAAATGTGTATACTTTTTTGGATACCCCTGTATATGCATATGCATGTATATACATATATTATATATTATATTGTATATTATACATTACATATATATACATTGTGCATATATACCACAGAGAAAGCTAAAGTCCTCTTAGAACGTTACCACCATCCAGATCTCAGCACTTCTTTTCCAAATGTAATTGCTGTTATCAGTTAACTATACATTCTTTCAGGTTATTTTCATGTATTTATATATATAAGAAAAGGATAATACTGTGTTGTACATGTGTTTGATATCTTTAATATTAAAGACATTAGTGTCTCTAGATCTTCATAAATATAAAGTTTTGCATATGAAATACCAATGGTAAAGATTGCATAAAAGATGTTCATTTACTTGACTGTGTTATTTAGCCTGTGTCTAAGCAAGGCTGTTAAGAACTAAGCATACTCACAGTATGTGATTTTACGTATGATATATTAATACTTATATTAATAAATGTAAATTTGTATTACATTAACCTTATGTTCCCCAAAGATAATGACAAATTCCCATTACAGTTTAGGGGAATGTTGTGAAGATTAATGAGATAATTCATAAAACTCTCAGCTCTTTAAAATGCAAAAGCTAAAATTAAAGCAGTATGCTTTGAGTGATCAAAAACACCAAAGTGCACAAGTAGTATATTGTCTTTAGTAGAAAAATAATTATCTTATACTCAAAAGGATTATATATAGTCATAAAGCTTTCATTCAATACGAGAGAAATCATAACTCTAGATATCACTTCCTTCTCAGTTACCTATAGAAAACTCTAGTTTGTATAAATGGATCATCATTACATGTATTATAAAATTTTGTATTTTATAATAGAAAAATCACATCCATGCTCAATAATTTGTTTTTAGTGCCAACTTGAAGTTTTTCCAACCAAATACTGAGAATGTACTTTTGAAATATATAATGAAAAAAAAATCAAATAATGATGAATTGATGCATTCACAGTTGGAAAGTAGTGTTTGTGGTTGTGAACTATATTTGCTAATAAATTGTGTTTTAAAAGCTGCAAAAGGCTTTTAGAAATGCAATTAATATGCACATTAATAAGCATTCCAGGAAATCACCAGCTCAATATGGAAAAGTAATATGAGTAAAACACATATTCAACATAAAACTATATTTATATAGTCCCTACTTCATGTGTGAAGGCATTGTCTTTCATAAACATGACTGGAATAGGCAATGCACATTTATACCCAGCTAAGAACTAGTTCTTCCCCCACTTAACCACCTAACAGAGGCTCCTTGTAACCAATCTTCTTGGTATTGGGTTATTATCCTATGGTCTCTTCAGTTACAGTGATGTTTTAGTGACACATCTTGAAAAGGTAATTTTTATTAAGCTAGAGGAGGCTGCAGTGAAGTTAATTCCCAGGTTTTCTGTCAGAGAATGTATTTGTCAGCATTCTCCAGAAAAGCAGAGAGAGAGAGAACAGAAAGATGAGATTTATTTTAAGGAATTGGCTCAAGCAATTATGGAGGCTGACAAGTCTAAAATCTGCAGTTCAAGTGTATAGACCATCTGCTGCCAGAATTCTCTCTTGCTGACTTCAATTGGATGAGGCTGCTCCACATTACAGAGGGCAATCTGCTTTATTCAAAGTCTACCTTTTAAATGTTAATCTCATCAAAAAACACCCTCACAGAAACATCCACAATAATGTTTGACCACGTATCTGGGCACCATGGCCCAGCCAAATTGACACATAAAATCAAGCATCACGGAGAAGTTGACTACTATGGCAGAAGAGACTTTGGGGTCTTCCATGTGGAAACAAGAGCACCTCCTGGTGCTGCTTGTCAGCAGCTCATTGGAGATAATTCTGAAATCCATGAGAACCAACGAGCTCCTGCCTTCAACATGAAGGCTATTGTTCCTGAGAAGTTCTCTTCATCCTGCTCCAGCCCTGGATTCTTTATTTTAAAATAACTTCTTGTCAAATACATATAAAATAACTCCCTCTTATTATCTCAGTTAGTCTTTACAGCAATCTTGCCAAGCATATTCTTTAAAACTAGATTTATTTTTTAAAAAATTATAGGCCGGGTGCAGTGGCTCACGCCTGTGCATCCCTAGCACTTTGGGAGGTCAGGGTGAGAAGATTGCTTAAGCCCAGAAGTTTGAGACCAACCTGGGCGACATAGTGAGATCTTGTCTCTACAAAAATTCAGAAAACTAACTGGACATGGTGGCACACCCCCATAGTCCCAGCTACTCAGGAGGCTGAGGCAAAAGGATCGCCTGAGCCCACGAGGTCGAGATTACAGTGAGCCATGACCATGCCATTACATTCCAGCTTGGGTGACAGAGTGAGACCATGAAACACACACACACATTTATTTTTTAAAATATTATAAGAAGCAAAATATTGTGACAGGAAATACCCTGGACTGGGAAATTAGGTGGTAAAAGTGACGATGATGATGATCAGGCACTTAAGCATACTTTTATTCTCTCCATTTATTCAAGAGAAAATGAGAGTTCAGAGAGCATCTTGCCTGAGGCCACACAGGTAATAAGTAGCAGAGGTGGTACCAAAGCCAGGTTTCAGATATACTTCCTGCCCTTACTCCCTAGAGCAACAATTGCTTCATCTTTATTTTCACTGCTATGGGGAATCTTGGACAGACTGCTAGTTGCCTACCCAACATCACCTTCTTGATAAGTAACAGAAGCACCATTTTATTTGGGCAGAAGTGTGCCCATCTGAAAGACTACAATTCTCCAGCCATGTGAATACGTTCTGGCCAATGAGATGTAAGCAGAAGTTGTTAAGTAATCCCAGACATCCTGCAACCCCCACTCCTGCCTCTTCTCTGGAAAATGGACACCTTGGCTTGAGCATGCACAAATGTAGCCTAATCTTTGAAGGTAGTCACTAGCTCAGGAGACAGATTGGAAGAAAACAGACCATAAGCTTACTGGATTTTTTAAAAAATAAACTTATAATTTTGAAATAATTTTAGATTGACAGAAAAGTTGCAAAGACACTGGACAAAGCTTTCTTATACCTTGAAAACATTATGCTAAGTGAAAGAAGCCAGTCCCAAAAGACCATATATTATATTATTCCATTTATTTGAAAATCCAGAATAGGCAAATCTGTAGAGACAGAATATGGATTAGTGGTTTCCAGAGGCTAGGGAAAAGGGAGGATGGGGAGTGACTACGTAATGGATACTGGGTTATAAAAATGTTCTGGAATTGGACAGTGGTGATGTTGCATAGCACTGTGAATGCTCTACTTCCACTGAATTACCGAATTCTACACTTTA